CTCTTTCCCACAACGAACTTCACAATATGTAGCTGCTTCACAAATAGGAACATACAAAAGGAAGTGTTTACTTCTAAGAAGTTAATACTTAAAAAAAAGGTATCTCTGGTATCTTTCCAGAATTACTTACCTGGAAATAATCAAAACTAAAGTATTATTGTTATGAAATCTAAAATTATAGATCCTACCTCACATCATTTGTATGTATTAATTCAGAATGAATTAAAGAGCTAAACATAAAATATAAAAATGAACAAAACTTAACTATACAAGTTTTAGGTGGAAATCTACATAATCTTAAAAAGTGGGAAGGGCATTCCTAAGCAAGACTCAAAATCCAGCAACCACCAAGGAAAAGAACGACGGATTTAACTACATCAAAATATAACAGACAGGCTTCCCTGGTGGCGCAGTGGTTGAGAGTCCGCCTGCCGATGCAGGGAACAGGGGTTCGTGCCCCGGTCCGGGAAGATCCCATATGCCGTGGAGCAGCTAGGCCCGTGAGCCATGGCCGCTGAGCCTGCGCGTCCGGAGCCTGTGCTCCACAACGGGAGAGGCCACAACAGTGAGAGGCCCGCAAACCACAAAAATATATATATATATAACAGACAAAGGGTCTGTAACATTTAAGAACTCCTACAAATCAGGAAGAAGGGCAATAAAATGTGACAAACGATAAGAATGGGCAATTCACATAAGAAACAGAAATGGCCAATAAGCATATAAAAAATGCTCAGCCTCACAAATATGAAGAAATGCAAATTTAAAACAGGAGATATTTTATGGCCACAGGATTGACAAAAATGAAAGGAAATAACACTTTTTGTTGGTGATGGTATAGGGAAAGGGATTATTTCAATTGGTGGGAGTCTACTGGTGTAACCATTTTGGATGTCAATTTGGCATTATCCAACAAATGTAAAATGTTCACAATCTGTGACAAAATAATTCCAGCTCTAAGTTATCTAGCCTCAGAAATAGTTCTATATGTGCAAAATCATCTATAATCTTGTAGATATATATAAGGATGTTCTCAACAGCAATATTTAATAGAAGTTGGAAACAAAATACTACATAAATTATGATATATCCATACTATGAAATACTAATACACAGGTATTTAAAAAAAGAGACTGGCTTCCCTGATGGCGCAGTGGTTAAGAATCCACCTGCCAATGCAGGGGACACGGGTTTGAGCCCCGGTCCGGGATGATCCCACATGCTGCGGAGCAACTAAGCCCGTGCGCCGCAACTACTGAGCCTGCGCTCTAGATCCTGCAAGCCACAACTACTGAGCCTGCATGCCACAACTATGGAAGCCCACACGCCTAGAGCCTGTACTCCGCAACAAGAGAAGCCACCGCAATGAGAAGCCTGAGCACCGCAATGAAGAGTAGCCCCTGCTCGCCGCAACTAGAGAAAGCCCACACACAGCAACGAACACCCAACGCAGCCAAAAATAAAAATAAATATATTTTAAAAAAATAAATAAATAAAGAGACTGTCATGGAAAGATTTCCAAGAGACATTATATAGTGAAAAAAACAAGCTACAGAACAATAGTATAACATGATTTCATTTTTGTTTTAATAAAATTCAGCTTTTCTGAAAAGGTTTCTCCTTTACAACAAAGAGGGCAGATTTAGAAAAGACAGCATAGACTGGTAACCCATAACTCCAACTGGAATGTTTCTTCTGATATTTTCCAGAAAAACAGCAGGTCCTTGTACACACCAAGTGTGTGACAGAAGCTTTGCTTGACAATTCTGTATGTCCCTGGTCAGATTCCTCTCTCCTCTTCTCTTTTACAAGTTCATGGGCCTGAGCTGAGAAGCATAATAAAACTGCTCCCATATTTAGGAAAACATTCCCTCCAACCTAATTGTACCACTAGCTACTCTCTTCCCTCTCATTCCCAGTTTTGGGGGCCGGACTTTTAAAAAATGATTGTTCTATAAAAATGATACATGATAATAAATAAAAGTCTTTTAATAATGGATAATGTTACACATGCTATTTAAAAGTATTATGTATTATATTTAAGTTTACTTTCCATAATGGAAAAGAACATGAAAAAGAATGTATATACATAACTGAATCACTCTGCTGTGCAGCAGAAACTGATACAACATTGTAAATCAACTATACCTCAGTAAAATAAATTTTTAAAAATTATTCGTAAACAGCCTAAAGGAAATAGGATATGAAAAACATTGACTTTGGAATTTTCACTGTCAAGATTACTAACAGTCTATTCTGAGCCCATAATTCCAGTTGTTTTAGTTCTATGTATAGATTCAATGTTCATCTCTAATCTACTCCTTTACCTGAACTCACCTCTTGGTTGACTAGACTTTGCCATTCAAGAATCTTTGTTTCTAAAGGAGGCCAAGGGTGCTATATTTCCTAAGTTTTCCCACACTTTAGAATATGACTATTACCTTTACACTAAAAGGATCACTGGACCACATATTTTCTTTTCCCTTAGAACTTTGTAAATGATGTTCTATAATCTTCTGACAATTAATATTGCTGTGAAAAGGCTGAGGCCAATCTGATATTTTTCTCCTTATGATTTGCTTTTTCTTTTGAGTGTCTGTAAAAGCTAAATTTTTTTGTCCTCAAGGTGTAGTAACGTCACCAGCATGTCTTGGTATTGATCGTTTTGCACAGTTTTTCTGAGAACTTCTATACCCTATTGATCTGCTGACACAGATCTTTAGATTAGTAAGTTTCCCTTTATTTATCTACCTTTTAATATTTAATCTATTTGTTCTCTTCTCTTTTGCAGGAACACTATGCCAATTTTGCATCTCTTTTGTTTCTCTTCCATGTATATCATGTTCTTAATAATAATTTTTAAATCAATCTTTTTCTATTTTTTTGGTATGATTTCTTGAAGCTTATCCACCATGCATTCAGTCATTTAACAAGAATTTATTAGAGTGAGTGCTAGGCACAATACTTGGCACTAGAAATACAGCAGCAAACAAAAAAGACAAAAATTCAGCCTTCTCAAATTCATTGAGACAAAAAAGAGCATAGAGGTTATCAGGGGCTGGGGGGAAGGGAGAAGGGGAGTTACTTTTAGCGGGCACAGGGTTTATGTTGGGGATGAAAATGTTTTAGGTACAAACAGTGGTCATGGGTACACAGTATTGTGAATGCATTTAATGCAACATACACTTACAAGTAGTTAAAAAGTAAATATTATGTCATATTTTACCGCAATAAAAATAAATTAATAAAAAATATTTAAGGGGGTTGTAAAGAGAAATAAGATAAGGCTTACAGGAGAGAGTGAACTATGAATTTAGTAGCAACTGAAACAGAAATATTTGGGGGGGAAGCAAAACACAAAAACCAACAAAACAACAACAAAATTCAGCCTTCATATTGCTTAGCTTCTTTTTTATTTCTTTATTTTTTTCGCTGCATTAGGTCTTAGTTGCTGCACATGGGGTCTTCATTGAGGATCTTTCGTTGTGGTACGCAGGGTCTTTGTTTTGGTGTGTGGGCTTCTCTCTAGTTGTGGTGCACGGGGTTTTCTCTCCAGTTGGGGTGTGGTTTTCTCTCTAGTTGTGATGCGCAGGCTCCAGGGAGTGTAGACTCTGTAGATTGCGGCATGTGGGCTAGCTTGTTGAGGTGTGCGAGCTCAGTAGCTGTGGCACGGGGGCTTAGTTGCCCCGCAGTGTGTGGGATCTTAGTTCCCCAACTGGGTCAAACCCACGTCCCCTGCATTGGAAGGTGGATTCGTTACCACTGAATCACCAGGAAAGTCCCCTGCTTAGGTTCTAATGGAATACAATATCCCTTACTTGATGTTTGGTGTTAATTTATTTGTTTCTAACAGGGCTTTCATTTCTGTAATTTTTAGCTTTTTTATTTTTCCAAGGTCACCTAATCCACTTTTCTTCTCCTCTTACTGTCTTTTCTTCTTTAAGCACTCTCTCTTTTCAATCTCTGTCTTCCTGCTTCTAAGAGAGATTCTATTATATTTAATTTACTTGAACCTATAGAATACTGTTTCAAGTTTTCCTGGGTTTTCTTCCAGTGATCTGTCTTGTGATGTTTATTCTTGACCTACTTTTGTCCCTTTTGTCAACTTGTTTATTTTGAATGTTATACAAACATCTCTCCCCTTCCGTAAATTCATTTTTCCCATAGCTTTTGTGGTTATCACTCTCTCCCAGTTTTCCTGATCCTTCTCTACTTGTTCCTTCTTTGGTTTCTTTCACAGGCTCCTCTTCCTGTGTTCTTTCCTTAAAAAGCTGTTGTTCCCCAGCAATTCCCCTTTGGCTTTGTTCACACTCTATACCTTCTTGGGTAATTTACCACTTACACGCTGATAACAAATCACTTGCTTTTAATTATTATTGTCTCCAGTGTCTACACAGTGCCAGACCTGTAGTAAATGCTCAA